GCTGAGCTTAAAGCTTTTATTTATTTATTTATTTATTTATTTATTGAGACTGCTCTATTGCTGAGGCTGGAGTGCAGTGGCGCGATTTTGGCTCACTGCAATCTCCACCTCCTGGGTTCAAGCGATTCTCATGCCTCAGCCCCCTGAGTAGCTGGGATTACAGGTGCCAACCACCATGCCTGGCTAATTTTTGTAGTTTTAGTAGAGACAGGATTTCACCATGTTGGCCAGGCTGGTCTTGAACTCCTGACCTGAAATGATCCACCCGCCTCAGCCTCCCAAAATACTGGGATTATAGGCGTGAGCCACCACACTTGGCCTTTTTTTTTTTTAATTAAAAAATTTTAAGTAAACTTTTGTTGATGTATATGTAACACACAGATAAAAATGAACAGGACTTAAGTATAGAGTTTGATGAATATTTATAAATGAAACACACCCATATAATCACCCTGCCAGATAAAAATGTAGAACTTTGCCAGCATCCCTAAGTGCCCCAGGTCCTTCTCCCAATCACTGCCCTCCTTTCCTAAAGGTAAGCACCACTTTGAGCCCTATGGATAAGTGTAGAGTCTTTAACACCATACAAATGGAATTATAAATGTTTTCTCTTATGTACACTATGTACTCTTTTGTGTTTGACTTATTTCATTTTATATCATGTCTGTAAGATTTACCTTATCGTAGCAAGTATCAGTAAGTCTTTCTTGTTCATTGTTGTGCATGAATATACAATTATATGAATATACCATAACATATTTACCATTGTATTGTTGGTGCACATTTCTTTTGCTGCCAGTTTTTTTGTTTTTGGTTTTGTTCTGTTTTGTTTTTTGAGATGGAGTCTCACTCTGTCACCCTGGCTATAGTGCAGTGGGGCACGATCTTGGCTCACTGCAACCTCTGCCTCCTGGGTTCAAGCGATTCTCTGGCCTCAGCCGCCTGAGTAGCTGGAATTATAGGTGTGTGCCACCATGCCCAGCTAATTCTGTATTTTTACTAGAGATGGGGTTTCACAGTGTTGGCCAGGCTGGTCTCGAACTCCTGACCTCAGGTGATTAGCCCACCTCGGCCTCCCACAGTGCTGGGATTACAGGCATGAGGCACCACACGTGACCTGTTGCCAGTTTTTAGCTACTATGAATAAAGCTGTTCGGAACATTCTTGTATATACCTTGTATAAATCCTCATTTCCATCTTGTATTTACCTAGGAACGGAGCTGATGGTGTCAGAGCATATGATCTTTAGCTTTAGTATATACTGCCAAACAGTTTATCAAAGTAGTTCTTCCAATTTATACTCACCAGAATTTCTTGCTCCAATCTCTGCTGCTAATACTTGGCATTTAAAATTTATTATTTAAGCCTTGATGTTATGTGTAATGATTTATAGATGTTTTAAAATACATTCTAGGCTGGGTGCAGTGGCTCATGGCTGTAATCCCAGCACTTTGATAGGCTGGAGCATTGCTTGAGCCCAGAAGCCTCCTACTCTCTCCTCTGCCATAGTAAACAAACAATACCAGCCTGGGCAACATAAGGAGACCCCATCTCTACAAAAATAAAAATAAAAATAATTAGCTGGGAATGGTGGTACCTGCCTGTGGTCCCAGCTTCTCTGGAGACTGAGGTGGGAGAAGCACTTGAGTCTAGGAAGTTGAGACTGCAGTGAGCCATGATTGTGCTACTGCACTCTAGCCTGGGCAACAGAGCAAGACCCTGTCTCCAAAAAACATACACATATATACTGGAGATATAGATATAGATGAATACACATATACACATATACTGGAGATCATATATATTATGGAGATCACATATACATATATAATATATGTTTATATATTATATGTTTATATGTTTATATTATA